GCCCAAGAAGCCCTGCAGTTTATAGAGAAGAAAGAGTACGAGAACGCAGCAAATGCGCTGCCGGGCAAGTTCCACAGCGAGAAAATCATTTTAAAATCTCTCAGCAAGAAAATTCCTGCAAAGGTGGCATTTAACAGGATAAGAAGAGAAAATAAAATGATGTATCTCCACAGCTACCAGAGCAAGCTGTTCAATGATGTCCTGGAGCAGAGGCTGATCAAGGGCTTAAAGAGCGAAGAGTACTGCACAGAAGAAAGCGTAAGCTCAATCACGGGAAATGGGGATATAACGGAAAAAGTAAAAACAACCACAGAGCCAAAAATCGAAAATATTCTGATTCCGCTCTACCCCACGCCAGAAGTAAACGAGAATGCCCCGAGCCAGAAGGCAGGGATGAAGGGAGGGTTTAGAAAGGCAGTTATTATCCCAGATAACATGGAATACTCTGTAGCCAACAATGTTTTGAGTCTTTCGTTCGATCTTCCTCCAGGCACATATGCTACAATGCTTGTTAAAGAGATAGCACAAAATGAAGTTAATGAAGTCTCGTGGTAAAAGATCAGCAGATTTTTACTTGGTCATCAAACTCTATCTAAGAGCTATCGAGTGCAAACAATAAATAAAGTGCTATTGTTGAGACGCACTCCTACACCCCGTATATTTCCTTTATGTTTTATTTATTAGATCTAAAAAATATCTGCATCTGAAAAGTCTTCTACCTCGGACTCGTTATCTCCCATTTCCATTTTGTATCTAAGAATGCCCCCTATTCCGCTGAAAGCAGAGATGAACTGTGTTCCCTCCTGGCTCTTATCAGAGATAAAAACGACATTGCAGTTTACTTTACGGTAGTTCTCAGCCAGCCAGTCTGTTAATAGCTCGCCGTCTCCCCCTTCGGAGTACGTTACTTTCTCATCTATTTCCGTTCTTCTAATGTTCGATGATTCGTCAATGATCAGGACTTCCATGCACCCCATTTCCAGACACGCCATTGTCTCCTCCACACCAAAACACACCTTCCCTGATCCAGATACAACCTCATCAAAGAAGAGCTTGATCGTCTTTTTCTCGCTCACGAGTTTCAGGTTCTGCAGAACTTCTTCAGACTGCTCTATTGCCTGGTTTAGCCCGTTTTCACCGCCGTATGCTACGTCTATTATCTTGGCTACCTTTGGCTTCAGTCTTTGGTCGAAAAAGTCCGACTGGTACAGATCTGATTTGAAGTCAGCGCATCCTGCAAGTATCAGTCCGTGTATGTTCGGCTTGTTGTTTGTGATAAAAACCTGCGTTGCAATCTCGCTCACTCTTCTGAGATAGTTGTGTCTCTTTTCCATCCTCAGTCTGGCAAATCGCACTGAAGACTGTCCTCCTCGCCCGTGCTTCTTTGGCAGATCCACCGATATATTCTGTTTTATCTCTTTTGAGTTTCCGGATAGAACGGCAAATAGCGATCCGTGTCCATCCATAATGATAAACCCAAATTTGTAGTCATCTTCGAGGGAGTTTATCAAGTCCTCCACGTGGAACTTGCTGTCACACAGATAGAGCGACGTGTTTATTGGCTTCATGGGCTCAATGTCAAAACACACTTTCTTCTCTTTCCCCGAGTCTTCGAGGATGGTTCCTGTGTAAAGAGCAAGGCCATTCTCTGGCACTCTTGGGATGAGCTTCAGTCTCTGCTGTGCTGATGTGATGGCGCCGAGGACGCTCAGTCTGTTCACTCTGCTTTTAATGTTTGAAGCTGTTCCGTACTCCTCCACCAGGAGCTTGTTAGCACGGGAGACCTGGTCCTTGGGCGGAAGAATCAGAGATATCATTGAAGTTCCGTTTCCTCGCGCGTTCTGCAGGTACTTCAGAAGCTTCTTCATCTTCCATCTTTCCACTTCCAGCTGCTCGGCTGTCTGCTGGTCTTTTTCCATCTGCAGAATAAAAAGTGCTCAGAATAAAAAGTGGACGCTCGTGCAAATATTTTCAAATGAGCGTCGTAGAGAAAATTAAAGAAATAGAAAATGAAATGGCAAGAACGCAGAAAAACAAGGCAACAGCAAATCACTTTGGTATTTTAAAGGCTAAGCTAGCCAAATTAAGAAGAGAGCTGCTTACCCCGAAGAGCGGAGGCGCGTCTTCCGGTGAGGGATTCGATGTGGCAAAAACGGGAGTAGCGAGGATAGGATTCGTAGGATTCCCATCAGTGGGCAAGAGCACCATTATGACAAAGCTGACGGGAACATACAGCGCTGTGGCAGACTACGAGTTCACAACTCTGACAACCGTTCCAGGAGTTCTGCACTACAACGGAGCCAAAGTGCAAATTCTCGATCTTCCGGGTATTCTGGAAGGCGCAAAAGATGGAAGAGGAAGAGGAAAGCAGGTCATTGCAGTGGCAAGAACGTGCTCGCTGATCTACATCGTGCTAGACATAACAAAGCCCCTTACACAGAAGAGAAAGATAGAGCTTGAGCTCGAAGGATTTGGCATCAGGCTGAACAAAACAGCGCCAGACATCACGCTGACAAAGAAAGACAGAGGAGGCGTGAACATCAGATCATCCTGCAGATTGACGCATTTAGACGAGGAGGGGATAAAGCTTATCTTCAAAGAGTACAGAATACTAAACATTGACGTGATGTTCAGATGCGATGCAACTGCAGACGACTTGATCGATGTGATAGAAGGGAATAGAGTGTACATCCCTGCGCTCTACATCCTCAACAAGATAGACAGCATATCCTACGAAGAGCTGGAGCTTCTCAGCCAGCTGAAAGACTCGGTGCCTGTGTGCGCGGATAAAGAGTGGAACTTGGACGAGGTGTTGGAGGCATCGTGGGCTAAGCTGCGGCTGATCAGAGTGTTCGCAAAGCCAAGGGGACAGCTGCCTGACTACTCTACGCCTGTTGTCCTGCGGGAGGGGAAGTGCAGCGTCAAAGACTTTTGTAACTCCATCCATAGAGGAATTTTGTCGGAGTTTAGAAACGCAATTGTGTGGGGAAAGAGTGTCAAACATGTTCCGCAGAGGGTAGGAAAAGAGCACATGCTGGTAGATGAGGACGTAGTGCAGGTGGTGAAGAAAAGATAATAAATATTATCCGTACTAGTTCTTTTCTTGTGTTGTTCATACTAGACAGAGTGTACGACTTTCCGTGCTAAGTTGTCTGAGTTTATGATAATTTGATTTTTATTGTTTGGCAGCATTTAGACTGTACATAGAGTATTGCAGCTGCAATGGTTTTAGTGGGGGTAGAGAGTGCGAATAACTGTGCAAGAGCTAAGTATGGCAGCACTGTTGAATGCTTAGATGGCTAAAAGAGCTAGATCAATACAGAATAAATCAGGATAAAGAGATATATGTAAGGAAGTTGATGAATAATGATGTTTATGCGTGTGTTTTAGTATGTGCTATACTCTGGTACACTCTGTGGCTGATGGTGTGTGATAATATAATTTATTAAATTATGAGGAGTGCACAGTGAATACTATTGTGGTATAAAAGAGCTGCAGATCCTTTGTTTATTCATTTATGCACAATGAGGAAGGTGTGTGGCTGATTAGTTTTTTAATTTCTTGTTTAAGCCATTTCAGTGAGCTTTGTGCACATTCATTAGTCTTTGCGGTGTTTCTGTGGTTTAATTGGTCTTTTGCTCTGTTTTTTAATTGGTCTTTTTTCTTCCGGATGTTTTTAAATTTTCATGGGATTTTATTTACTCCGAAAACTTTTAGAAAATTCAAATGACGGGAAAGCCACTCACAACAGACCATGGAAACAGAAAATACGCTGTAGATGGATGGGACATGGGCAGAATGCTCAAGTTCATAGAGCAGGAGTCAGAACAGAAGGCAAATGAAATAAAAATAAAGGCAAACGAGAAGTACGCAATAGAAGTGGCAGAAATGGCCGTAAAGAGCATGAAAAAAATAAACCAACAGAAGACAGAGGAGATACACAAAATAAAATCAGAAAAAACAATTGCAGAGGGAAAGCTGAGGTCGAAGGCGAGCATTACCATTGCAAGGGAGAAAGAGCAAATAATCAACAAAATACTAAACAAAACTATAGAGAAGTGCCAGGACCAGCCGCTTACCACAAAGCTAGCACAGGACGCCATCGGCAAGTACAGATTTATATTTCCGTGCGGCAAGATGATAATATACGTGAGAAACCAGGATAGAAAAGTAGTAGAGTCATTGCTGAGCCCAGAAGAGTACACCATAGAGGAAATGCAGGAGAATCTGCTGGGGGGAATTGTAATAAGAAACGAGGAAAGAACAGTGCTAGTCAATAACAGTTATTTAGAAAGAATCAGGTGTGCAGGAGAGAAAATACAGCCGGTAATACAGAAGGTATTATTCACTAAGCTAGACCAAAATGAGTAAATAATTGATTTATTAGTTACACTTGTGTTATGTCTTATCTTTTGTGTTCTTGGACTCCGTTCTTCTGGCTGCTGATTTATTTAAAGCTCGCCGGTAGTTTTGATTTTCTTATTTTCATTTTACTTTTAAGCTCCTGCGCCAGACGACGCACTAATTATAATTTAAATACGCGAAGAGTGAAAATATTTTAATGAAGAAAAGAACTCTCTTGGTGGTTGACAATGGCACGTGGGAGTGCAAGGCAGGCTGCGCAGATGCAGAGCCGTGCTTGCGATTTAAAAACCAGATATTCAGGATGAAGGGAAAAGACGGAAAAATAACCTACTCCATAGCCCCGAATAAAAAAACAAACATTACGACGGCCATTAAGAGCATGTTCGATGGGGGCGTTGTTTACAACTGCGAAGTGTTGGAGAGCACAATCAAAGAAATACTGAAAGAAGTAAAAAAGCCTGCAAAAGAAGAGAAGGGGAAGCATGAAATAAAAGAGCTGGTGATGACAGAGTGCTTCCTAAACCCGCAGCTGTTCAAGGACATGGCGCTGGAAACAATCTTCAGTGCGTTCAGCTTTGAAAAGATACAGTTTGGGTATGATTTTGTCTACTCCTACGAATATAATTTAAAAAATAACACAAAACTATCGCTGCAGAAAACAGGATTCAAAAGAGACTTTTGCGATGTGATAATTAGCATGGGGCACTTGGGTGTCTATGTGGTTCCTCTCGATCCCACGAAGAACACTATAATATACGATAGAAGCACATACATGCCTCTCGGAGGCCTGGCTGCACAGCACATATTCAGCAAGAGCATAATAAACAAGTACTATGGAACAGGACTGAAAATAATGAAGGAGGAAGTGGAGGAGTATTTTAAGAAAATAAGAGTGCCCTTGGACTATCTGCAGGAGATAGAAAACGTGGTGAATGAAGGAGTTGGAAACGTAAAAATACTGCAGAAACAGAACAAAGAAAAGGTGCCAGTGATAAAGAAGATTCCAAAAAGAAAGATAGGGGGGCTCGAAGCATACAGGAAGAGAGCAAAGGAAATGGACGCAGAGCTAATAGATGAGCTAGATAACGATGACCTGGACAATGAAGTGGAGGATAACACTGATGAAATAACTGAACAGGTGGAAGAAGCAGAAGATGAGGTGGAAGAAAAAGAAGATGAAATAGAGGCAGAAAAAGAAGTAGAAGTGGTAGACGAGGAAGAAATAGCAAGAAAGCTAAAAAGAGAGAAACTTATAAAAGGAGCAACAGACCATAGGAACAAACAGAAAATAATAAAAGTGCTGGAGAGACTGAACTACCACATCCTTCTCCTTGAGGATAGACACCTTCTCATAACAAACCCGTCTGAGTTCATGAAAATACGAAAAGACCGGCTGGAGCACCTTGAAAAGATAATCAAAAAAAGAACATTTGTAAGAAACGAGCTGAAAAACAAAAAAAGCACGCACTCTCTTGCACTTCTTAAAAAGTCGCTGGCGCAACCTGACACAGTCGTTGAGGACAATATATATCTGCAAGAGATAAGAGATGCTGCATTAGAGGACATAGCCATACAGGAAGAAATAGACTACATAGACCTCTTCCTACGAGAGAACGATCCAACATACATCACAAAAGAAGAAAATCCGTTGGACAAGATAAGAAACGGATACAAAGAGAAGGGAGGCATAAATATCAACGTGGAGTTTATCCGCACTGCTGAGGCCCTCTTCAATCCCTCCATTGTTGGCATAGAGCAGCCAGGGATAGGAGAAAGCCTCTCCTGCATATTCCAGACAATGGATGTAAGGAATATTTTCATCACAGGAGGCTTCAGCCAAATAGAAGGAATAGCTGAAAGAGTAAAAAAAGAAATCATTCCGCTCAGACATCTGCCAAATGACCCGCAGGTTGTCACAGCTCTGGACCCAATTAACGACTCGTACAAAGGAGGATTCCTGCTTTCCAAGTACTTCCAGACGTACACGCGGCAGGAGTATGAGAGCAAAAACAGAGAGGAGTAATTTAGAAGAAAGTTCGCTGTATGTGACGGTTAAATAAATAAAATCATGATATTTTTTATTGCTCCTAGTCCTGTCTTGTTTTTACTTCTCTGTGGATTCTCTTGTGCGGTGTGAGAATGATGGCATCTGCGCCCCAGCCTGACAAGGCATTTCTATCGATTGCATTCAGGAATGCCTGCATGGTTGTTACAAATAAATCTTCGTCTTCTACATCACCACCCGTATATAAAACATCAGATATACCTGTGAGGTTGTTAGCCGCGGTTCCCGTGGATGCAAAGTCCTTGTGTGTGCTCACACAGCCAATTAGATCCATTGTATACACGTGTGGTGAGTTGTTTCTGTCAAATCCAGCTATCAGCGGAGACACAAGATACGGCATAAATCTCCTGCTGTACAAAATGTAGGAAAGAAGAGAGGTAAACTCTTTTGGCTCTATTTCTCTTTGCTGATTTAGCTGGAACATGTTCACGTGCTTGCGCAGGGTTTTAAAGAGGATTTGGCAGTCTGGGACAAAGCCTGTGAGACTCAAAATAATCTTGTCCGTCATCTGGTAGAGCCTTGTGAAGTTCGAGTGCAGGGTGCTGGCCTGATTACCGAATCTTTTGTCTGCTGTAATGACTATTGCACTCTTACTCATCATGGCCAGGGAGGACCCACCGTAGTACTGGGTAATAGACATGGAAAAAGAAAAACACCAAAATTAATATTTGCAATTTGCAAATAAATAACATTGCTTTCATCTGTGCGAATTTTAGAGAGCAGAGAAAAAGAAAATGAGTTGAGATGCAGTACATTGCAGATTGGGCGTATTCAGATGGGGCACAAATAGAATCTTTTTTTATTTTTTTATGGAGCCCAGAGGACCAAGCAAGAAAGAGTGTCTTATAATCACACACGACAACGCATTCCACATGGACGATGTGATTGCGTGTTTTATGCTCAGAAAGATATACCCCAACAGCACTATCGTTAGAACAAGGGACAGCGAGATAATAAAAACAGGCGACATCGTTGTGGATGTAGGAGGTGTGTTTGATGAAGAGAATAGGCGGTACGACCACCACCAGAAAGGATTCCACGAGACATACAGCAAGAGCTACAATGTGAAGCTAAGCAGCGCAGGACTGGTGTATAAATATCACGGGAAAGAGTTTATTAAGGCGATTGGCATTGAGTTTGACGACTCTTTGGCCAGTGAGCTATTCATTTCTACGCTGTACAACACGTACTTTGTGTCAGTGGATGCCAACGATAACGGGATAGACATCTCGGACAGTGTAAAATACAACCAAAGAGTGCTCGACGATATGGTAAAGTCTTTTGTGCCGTACAACCTAAGCCCAGTGTACTCATTCGAAGAGGCAGAGAGCATCCGGTACGAAGCGTTTCTTGAGGCAATGGAGTACATGGGCTCTGATCTGATCAGACACTGCAACAAGCTGGCCTATGATGTATCCCATAACGGAAAGAGACTGAATGAAGAGTACCTTGCTCTGGGAGAGAAGAATGACTACTATCTAGTCCTTACACAGGGAGGTGTGTTCTCTAAGGACATCATATACTACTACAACAATCTGTACAAGAAAAAAATACACATGATTATATCCCCAAGAAAAACAATGAAAGGAAACACATACTCCATACAGTCAATTCCCGACCAGCACCAGAGCAAGTACAAGCCTCTTATTCCGCTGTGCGAGGAGTGGAGAGGGCTGAGAAACGAAGAGCTGCGCAGGGTATCAGGTCTGGCAGACATAGAATTTGTCCATGCCACTGGCTTCTGTGGATCAGCAGAAACCCTGGAGACTGCGATCACCATGGCCGAAGAGTCCATCAAAGAATACTTGGAGAACAAGGAGTAAAAGTGCTTTTATTCGCGATAAGATTGCTTATTTAGTTTGATGGAAACAGGCTTTGATAATAAAGATGCATTCTACGATCTTTCTGTGTATATTTTTGCGTGTGTGATCAACTGTCTACTGGTTGGATATTTTAATTTTAACACTTGCAAGAGAGTAACCAAAAATGAAAATAATCAGAGAAGTGTAGATAGCAGGGTGGGTATGTGCTAGATAAAGATGGAGTGGCTCATAATGGCAGGCTGTGTTTGCTGAGAGAAGATACAAAAAGTTGTGATGTTTTTATTTTTCGCTTGGCTTTAGTTTAAATTTCTGAGAATTGCAAATTTTTTATAACTACCATGGCAGCAGAAACACAAAAAACAAAAAGAGAAAGAATAGACAATGCGCTTTCTAATGTAGGATCATACCAAAGAATATTCAAGCTGCTCTGCGACAACAAGACAGCGTTCATACAGAAGCTGAAAAGAGACTTTAGAAGCGTGAAATCAGAGCTCTTCTTTGGAAAGTACAAGATGGTGCACACAGTCCTGGGAAGAATCCTGTCCTCCGACCAGATGGTAAGCCTCAAGGGGAAGGTGGAGTACAAAAAATCAGATAAAGTATTTTTATTTTTGCTATCCGATCAGCCCGTTGAGAAGATAAAAGGCATGCTTGAGAAGGTGCAGCACACTGACTACGAGAGAAAGGGCGACGTGCTCAGCAAAGACATTGTGCTTCCAGTTGGCGAGCTGCTGAACGAGGAGAGCATAAAAATATCCAACACTCTGTTCAAAGACATACAGAAGCTGGGAATAGACAACATCAGAATAAACCCAAAAACAAACAACATAGAAGTAACAGAACAGATTGTTCTTGGAAGAAAGGGAGAACAGATGACCGAAGAGCAGGAGAAGATGGTAAAGATACTTGGAATCAAGAACAAGAAGCACGGCGCAGTCGTTGTAGGCTTTGCAGAGATCCAGAAAGAATAAATACTCACTTAAACCCTATCTGCTATTTTTCCTTGGGCTACTGAATATAAGACTGTGCTTCCATTGCATTGCTACATCTGCCACATTATGCAGATTTTGTTCTTAATTTGGTTATTTTGGCTATTTTAACAGGCTCTCTTTTTGGGATATCTTCTTCTCTTATTGTCTGGTGCATTTCTGCTACTCCTTTGGATTTTAAATACTTTTCTGCTGTATGCAGATCGTCTAGTGCTCTTACGATGTCTTCTTTTGTGATCTTATCTATGCAATGCACTCGTTTGGTTCTGCCAGTATTCTGCGGACTATTCTCTCTTTCTTTTGCCTGGGCCTTTTTGCTAAATAAAAGCACTCCACTGGTCAGATCTCTGCTAGAGCACAGGATAGTCATAATATCATCCATACTGGCACTTGGCGCATTCTTCATTGCTCTGCTTATGGGCTCATCTTTTATTCTTCCTAGACACTTAGCAATCCTTTTGTTATTTAGCAGGATGTCTCTGTACGACCCATTTCTTGCCTCTGCGTGGCCTATTCGCTCACTTTCATATCCTATGCCACTCATTACGCTCTCCCAGTACGCGCACAGCCGCACTGGATGGGATATTGGGCTGTCTGTGTGCAGATGTTCTGAGTCTACGGGCTTGGAGTACAAGTATACTGCAGGGTATCCCAGCGCAGCCACTACTTTCTTTAGGTTTTCAATTAGAACCATCCTCCCAAGGCCCTTAGCTCTTGACATGCTTTCCATTCTACTGATGTAGAGAACATTCTCTCTTTTGTACAATAGCAGAGTGCACAGACTCATAGGTGCTCCATTTGCACACGACAGTATATACACAGTCTGTGCGCATCTGAATATCCAACTGCTCACAGAGTGCTCCATTAATTCGCACAAATATTTTCATTTTTATTCTTCACCATAATATTACAACCCGTACACTCTCTGCCAGGTATGCCTTTTATCTCTGCGAGCAAGAAGAGAGCTAGTGTGATTAGGAAAAAAGTCTATACTCTGCTCCTGTGTATGCTTTTTATTTTTATATTCCAGAAGATGTGTAGCTCTGCTGTTTTAAAGGCATACTTAATAAAATATGTACGCTATGGTGCATTATAGAAAGAGACTCTGATAAGTATTGTAATTTATTGCTTCGTGGGCTTTTCTTTGACTGTATGCCTGAAGGACGACTTGTCTTTGAGCGACTCGTCGTTTCCTTTGAACGAAACGGGTATCACGGGCTTTAGCTCTAGTTTTTCTCGAATCTCCTTCTCCTGCTCGGCCATCTCTTCCTCATTTGGACACGTTTTTGTCCAGAAAGAGAGAATTGTGTGGTGCCCTCTTACGCTCACCACAATCCCGTTGACCTCCATGGTTTTGAAGGGCACAAGAGCCATCCATATGCACAGACTTTCAAAAAGCCTCTGCTCCGCAGTGTTCTTCTTTATTTTGATAATCCACTTTCCTCCGTTGAGATTGCATGGATCTTCCCACATGGGCTCTATTCCGTCTTTGAACAAAGATAGATCTGTAATTGGCTTTATATCTTGCAGCTTGTGCAGACGCCGCAGCAGATACAGAAACTCCTCGGCGCTTTCCACTTTTGCTTCCTGTTTTATCTTGCTTTTGAAGTCTTCGGTGTCCCCTTTGATGTTTACCGCTCTAAATACAGAGGAAAGAATAAGTGCGGATCCAAGCCTTTCTTGCGTCATAATAAAAAATATTTAATGCATTTTAAAATACTAAAAGTCTTACAACTGGCCGGATAAAAGCACCGGTCACTCTCTCTTGCTAGGAGTGTATTCAGAGAGAAGAGAAGAAGCATCGACAAACCCTTTTGCATCTATAAGCACAAATGTGTCATTGTCTGAAATGGCAAAGACCACTGCATCTGTTGCAAGATCTTCAAAAAGAGCAGAAGTGAATCTGTCAGTCGGTGTGACTATCTTCAGATACGACTTCATTTCAGATCTGTTCCTGTTGAAGTTTTTATCAGGGCTGTACATTTTATATACGTATTTAGCGCTGTTTTCTGTTGGTGCGTGCGGGATGAGCACCCATCCTGCCTTTCTTATGGTGTAGTATGTTGGAAAGTGCAAATAGCCCATCATTGCTGCGTACTCAGCCACTTCTTTCATGTTTTGAATGGCTGGGCATACATCAAATAAAACCTCTTCAATGGCTAGCTTTAAGACCTCTTCTTTCACTCCGCACTTTCTGTACTCCTGTCTGCCTGGGTCTATGGGCGCATAATGGCTTTCCGTTTTTGTGAATCTTTTATTTATTTCTTCTTCTATCTTAGCTGGTGTATTGGTCATATAGCGAAACTGCGTTTTTATGCGACTTACTGCAGGGGTCAAGCACCACGGCTATTTCTGCATTTTCCAGTGGTATATCGCTGAATAAAGACGCATTTTCATCAAGCAGGCCCGCAGACTTAATCAGCAATGTGTCCATTTCTGATAGATGGACGGGTTTGCTTTTGTTTTTGTTTTGTTCGGTCTTCTTTGGCTTTGCTTTTTCTTTGTATGCAACGAGCTTCTTCTTCTTGCTGAAATCAATTAGCATGAATATTTTTTTGAGTGTAATTTTATGGTGGAAAGTGTGTGCATTAAAAGAATAAAAGAGCTGCTGGGCGAGCTGTGTGAATACTCCCTGCAGATAATGCCCCCGCAGGAGATGGATGTCCATCCGTGCGACTGGCTTGGAGAGGACATGCAGAGAGCAGTGGAGGCTATTGAGTCGCTTCGAAACAGTTTGCTCTCCCAAGTAGATGCTAAAAAGGCCAAAATACAGCAGATGGAAGAAGAAAAAAGGACAATGCTTTCAGCTCTTGAAGAAAAGAGCGAAAAGCCAGAAGAAGACGGCCTTTGGATCTATGAGAAGAGCTTGTATACAAGAGAGTCTGTGCTTGCAAAAGATCTCGCAGAGCTGCACATCAGATACGAGGAACAGAAAGAAAAGTTCAGCCAGATCGCAGAAAAGATAAAAAATAAAAAGAGCGAGCTGGCAGAGTACTTGGAGAACGAAGAAGAGTGCACTGCCGTGCTGCAGGAGCAAACAGTTACCAAGCAGCTGATAGAAAGAGCAGAAACACTTCTCGCAGAACTAGAAAGAAAAACAGAGGAAATAAGAGCAAAAACAGAAGAAAAGATAAAAAGCGCCAATGCCATTCTAGCTTCGCTTGGGCTCCGAGCTGAAAAAGACTTTTCAAGCACTGCAGAGCTGTTTGATGAAATAAGCCAATTGGAAGCGCATCTTGAAGAAATATCATCATCTGTTGAGTCGTATAACTACACAATGAACAAGATAGATGTATCAGACAGCTTTACCAAGACAGCTAGCCCATCAGTCAAGCAAGAGAAACAAACCCTTGCAAAAATTGCACCAACTATACACTTAAAGAGCTATACCGAAATATCTAGCAAAAATAGAATAGTCAGTGGCCTAAGCATGGATATACCGAGCAGTAAAAATGGTGAAGCATTTGGAGTGATCAGCAGTTTGCCATACTCCTGTGCAAAAGACCTAGAAGAGAAACTGGTAAGAATAGTAAGAATGTCTGAAGAGATAGACTGTCTCCTCAAGAACAGGCTTACATTCCTATCGAACAGAATGGAAGTATCAGCAAAGAGTGATTTATCTGGTGTAACGCCTATTTGGAGGATAATTGTGCAAAAAGAGTGGATTGCTCAAATAGAGCAGGAGTACAAGCAGAAAATAGAAGAAATATTCACAGAGCAGAAGAACAATCTAGAAACAGTCCTGGCTAGCCTGAAAAGCATAACGGAGGAAGAAGCTGTATATGCGCCTCTTCCACGGGAAATAAAAGAGCTGAAATTCACAGAACAGGAAGACATTCTCCTGGAACTGGAAAAACAGACAAAAGACGCAGAAGAGGAATATTCCATACTGAAAAACATTGAGGCCTTCGTCAAGGAGAGAAAAGAGCTGCTCCTAAAAATGTCCGCATTTGAGGAACAGGCAAGCGACCCGAGGAGACTATTCAGGAGCTCATTCCAGCTCAACTCGGAAGAGAAGTTCAGGAAGATGGCAGTGCCCACTCTTCTGCGAGTAGAAAAGGAGATATTTGCGCTATCAGGCAGCTACTCCGAGAAGTTCGGCAAGCCTGTGCAGATAAAAAGGAAAGAGATAGTCACAGACCTAAAAAATGAGATATCCAATCGAATAATCAATGCAAATACATTTATGACGGGAAGACAGAGGCCCATTGACAAGCCCATTATCAAGTAACTACAAAAGGCTTTGCAAATAAAAATAAAAGTGTATTATAATATTCCAAAGAGACTTTAGCACAAACTAGTTTACACTTGACAGAATGAAATTAGCTAAGCATTATTAGAAAGCAAAATAAAGGGTGCTGAGTGAGTCTATACTGCTACATTTTCCATCTCTCACCAGTACACTCAGAGTGTGAAGTGTTTTGAGATGTGGTTTATGCGTCTTTTTTGTGCTTGAATCAGTGCGCGTGATTGCTTGCGGTGTCTTTAAAAGTATAAATATAATTTTGTTTTTAAAATTTTCATCCAGGTTTTTAAATGTCTTCGCAATATAATGAAAATTCACTTCCTCTGGAATCAGAAAAGAAAGCGCGCATGAAGCCGCAGGTGAAAAGAGTAAAGCTCATGGATAGCGACCAAGAGAACGAAGATGCCTCCGCTGCCTCAGATGAGAAGGAAAAGCAGAAAAGAGTGAGTGATCTGCTGCAAAAAATCAAAAAATTAAACTACAATAGCAGAAACAAAAGTCTGAGAAGCAGGCTGCAGGCTCTGGAAGAGGCAGACGAGCTGTTCAAAGAGAGCACGCCTGCACAGCGACTCAAATATCTCCACATGGAGGCTAAAGCAAACAGAAGAAGCGTAGAACTCGACACTTTCAAAAGAAAAATGCTCGAGCTAATTCAATTTCTAGAGACAACAGAAACAGGACAAGCGCTCTCCTGGGATGAAGTGGTGCAAAGGCTGGCACAGATCGCAGATGCGCACGGAAGAATAAGAGAGTTTGTGTGGCCACAGATCGATGGCATTGAAACAGGACTGAATCTGTGGATCTTAAAGGTAGTCGCAGGACTGTACTTTAAAAAGATCAAAATACACGAGGTAAAAAAAGAGATACTGCAGTCCCCGGGGAAGTATCCAATCGAGTGGCAGCGCGTTGACTTCAGCCTCGGCGGGCCAAGACTAATGAGACAGCTGCTTGAAATTCTGAACAGCAAAACCACTCCATCCTTCCAAGAGAGAAAGAAGAAAAAAGAAAACTCAGCCATGTCCCACAGTAGAGCAGAAAAGCACGTTGTGCTCTCCTCAGAGATACCCATTTCCCTGGGAGGCGTTGAAACACTGGGGCACGTGGACATTGCAGCAGAGATGAACATCATAAGCAGAAAGCTGTACGAAACACTCCGACAGAATGGCAGCATAAAGTCAGAAACAGCTCTGCCCCACTCCCTGCAGGACATCCGATGCGGAGAGCAGATGTATCCGCCAAAAGAAATAGTCATAGACGTATCGTACGAAGATGTTAGGCTGGATAATCACGCATTCTATGTGCGAACAGATGATGCAGACGCAGAAACTATCCTGGGAAGAGAGCTCACGCGGCTCCTGCGCGCAACCAAGGAAACATCGACGAGTCTCAGAGAAATATTCCAGACAGAAAGACACAAGGCCTGTCCCTTCATGGAGTTCATTGGAGACGTAACATCTTCTGATCTTACTTCCCTCAGCATCCATGATGTCGTAAATGTCTCCTCTGATTACGCACACAACATCCCAGATAAGAAAAACACCGAATAAACCGTACATACAGCACACACACCATATTCCTGCACTAATATTCAGCCGCACCAAATAAAAATATGTCTTATCAGATTTCTCTTTTATTCTTACTACTTCTGCACTAACCAGCTGCATACGATGAATATCGAACGGCTCTGAATAGAACAGAAAGTGTCTTTCATATTTACTGCACTCTTTTGCAGCCGATGTGTAAACTACATAAACTATCTTTATTAATCATTCCTGCGAGTGTTACGGCTAAACAGGCACTTCTTCGTTTCTGGCATCCTTTGTGTTTTTCTTTTCTCTTGGTGGTTTTGGTTTTTTTGATATTTTTCTGAGTGTGCTCAGCGACAGAATGTCTTCCAAAAAGGGTATTTCATCCTGTGTATCGCACGGCGTGCAGTGCTGCGTCGTTAGTCTCTTCTTGTTCAGCATGTGCTCGTAGTCTCTCATGTTGCTTCGTATTAAATACTCTTTCTTCTCCGCGTTTACTTCTATCAGCGGATCTTCCAGCCGCACGTCTTCCTCTTCATCTTCCGCTGGATTCTCTGCTCTTCTATTTCTGCTCTTTGGCTTCTCGTATGGAATGCTCGCTCTTTCTCTGAGATGGTCCTGCACGTCTTGGTCCAGATACTTCTTCTCCACTGGCGCCTTCTTCTCTCCTTCTTCCTCTCCCGTGAAGTCGATTATTCCCCTGTCTTCATGCAGTATCGGCTTTATCTGATCGCCCACTCGGAGTATTTCCAGGAGAGACTCTTCTTTGGGCGACACTTCTTTTTTTATTTGCTTCGTTATGTTCAGCTGGTATTGCAGGAATGAAACGAGCTCTTCCCTTCTGTAGGAGCTTTCAGAGCCCGCGGACTCTTCCACTATCGTCTGCAGAAGTGTCTCCACGAGCTCTTCATCAAGCGGCTTCTTCTCTAGCCCTGCTGTGTTGTACGCTTCTCCCAGCTCTGTTTCGCTCAGAGACCGTTTAATGGACAGCAACTGTCTGTTCAGCTGGTTCATGGTAAGATCGACAATCACCTGGAGCGACTGCTTGCTTGCCCTTTCAAACCCCACCTGATTCAATATCTCAACTACCACCGCCTGCAGCACTCTGCAGTGGAATCTTCCCTCCTCCATAAAAATATGAAAAACATTTTCATTGAAATTTTATTCGCTATCCGCGCCGCTTCTTTCTCTTCTTTTTATTCCGCAGCAGCAGGAAGCCCAGCGAAAACTCGCGCACAAAATGCAAATATATTTTGCTATCGTATAAATGGCAAATATTTTGGAAAATCTTTTATGGGAATGAAGTGTGGAATTTGCAAGAGCTCAAAGATAGAAACAGACGCAGCACGGGACATAAGCTACTGTACGTCCTGTGGGCTGGTGATAGAGGAGAGCACAATCGTATCAGACGTGCAGTTTGCACAGGACACAAAGGGCACTTCTGTTCTGCAAGGACAGTACGTGAGCACCGGCGATAGCAAGAAATTAGTGGCTGGAAAATTTATAACGACAAATCACATCTCCACGATAAAGGGAATAGCGAAGTCCATAGGAGAGGCCCTGGGCATAGGAGACACGCAGATTAACTCGGCAATGCGGTGGTACAACCTCTCTTTGCAGTTCAACTTCACAAGAGGAAGAAAGACACAAGTGCTACTGGCAGCGTGCCTGTACATCACCTGCAGAGAGGAGGAAACGCCGCACATGCTTGTTGACTTTGCGTACATCCTGCGAGTGAACGTGTTCAAGATCGGAAGCGTCTTTTTGAAATTGACAAGACTTTTGAATATTTCTGTTCCTCTCGTGGATCCATCACTTTTTGTGCCGAGATTTTGCAGCAAGCTGCAGCTTCCAGGCCAGGTGATAGCAAAGACGTCTCTGCGGCTCATAGCAAGGATGGACAGAGACTGGATTGTGATCGGAAGGAAGCCCGCAGGGATATGCGGTGCAGCGATTCTAATCGCCAGCAGAATACACGGAAACGAAAGATCGGTGGAGGAGGTGGCTGCAGCTGTGAAAGTGTGCGAGTCCACAATCAACAAAAGACTCGCAGAGATAAAGGAAACAGCAACTGCAGCACTGTCCATCAGCGAATTCAACACGATCTGGCTGGAGAAGGAAGAAGATCCTCCGATTGTCAAACTGCGCGGGAAAGTGTTCACTGAGTCATTTGCAAAAAACAGACAGAGCTACGAGAAAGAGAACGATGAAGAAATTAGCTGCAAGCCTGAGTATCCAGAAAGGGAGGATATCACGCCGCTAACACCGATGAGCATAGCCAGCCAGACAACAGAAGACATCCCGCACGAAGAGAGCGACCTGTCAGACGAAGAGATGGAGATAGAGGATGAGCTGTTCCTCACAAAAGAAGAGATAAAAGAAAAAGAGAGACTGTGGGATGCAATGCACGCAGACTTCCTGATAGAAAGGAAAAAGAGGGAAGTAAAGCCAAAGCCAAAACCAAAGAAACAAAAGCCAAAGAATCTTCCTCTGCACGATGCCGTTGAGTCCACTGTAAAAACAAAACACTTATCCACGCGAATTAACTATGCAGCAATTAAAAGCCTTTTCCAAAGATGATCTCTCAGATAACTGAAAATAAGGATATTCTGGGAATGAAAATGGGAAATAGACACAGAAAGCCCAATAAAAATGAGAGTAGCAGCAGAACACACTCTTCTGCGCCCGGATGGTGGTGAGTCTGCTCTGATGGATGGGAATGTGAAACAAAGCCAAATACTCTGCAGGATGAAACCACAATAAAAATGGAGAAAAAAGTGGAGAAAGAGTTACAGGATGCACAGGAAGACATAAAAGACGCAATCAATGCCGAGAAGAAAAGATCTGCCTCCATTTCCAGTCTGGAGCAGCAGTCTGTTGAGCTCGATGCCTCACTCACGGGTCTGCAGGAGGAAACACACAGCGCCAGGAAGAGGCTGTGGAAGAAGTGCCTAAAGTGGATAATAGTTGCAACTATTATATTTCTCATCCTCGGAGGCCTGCTGTTCTCCTACGTATACGATAAACTAAAGTCCTCTCTGAATATGCTCAATTAAAAATGGAAAGAGGATGAGAATGGAAATAACGAAGTGTTAGCTCGCTCTTGTCCTATCTAAATAAAATATTTATAGTAATCGCTGCTTTTATTTCATGCTGTAGCATATAAACCTTCTTACTCCTTTTACTTTTGTTACTCTTCCGAATGCTTCTATGTGCTGGCCCACTGGATGCTCTTCCTCTATGGCTCCGTAGTACGTCATTGGAAGCTTCTTCTTTTTGCAGCATATGAACACGGTGTACTCCGAGTCAGAGTGTTTTACAGAGCGAAGATACCTTCCTTTCACGATCAGATAGAGGCCTCTTTCTATTCCTATGCTGGGAATCTCCTCCAGTGCGCACTCTCTTACTTTATCCTGTGTTTTTGTAAACTTGTTCTTCAGATGCATCAGAGCTAGCAAGTATTTTCTGCGCTTATCTCTATGCAATAAAACAAGTGCATCTCTACCAGATGAGTGATTAAGTGGTTAAATTAGTAAGTGTCCAAAGACAGTAATAAATCACTGATTGAGCAGTTGTAGATGCTCATTAGACACAGAATTGAATAGCTGAGCTAAATATTTAAGTGATTAAGTGATTAAGTGTTGGTTGACAGATAAATGAATAAAAAGTTTTACTGCACGAGAAGTTGAGGCAAGTAGATGAACAAATAGCTGCGCGATGACTGTGAATGATTTGTCTATAGCCTATTAATCAGCTAGCTACAGTCAATCAGCAATTATCTGGCTGAGTGCACACGTATTTGAACAGAGCATCCGAGGAAAGAGAAAGACAAGAAGATAGCCCGTGAATATAAGAAGTATTTATTATGCAGTTGCCTCTTGCTCGTATAACAACTCGACCTTCTTTCCTTTTTGTTTGCTCTCAAACTCGCTCTCGTCCACCTTTGGTCTCTTAATTACCTTCACCTTCTTCACGTGGCAGTTCTGCAGTGGGTATATTTTTACGCCCTCCTGCTCGATTCTTGATCCTATGGTCTCGTTCATCAGCTTCTTCATTACGTCGTGGATGTTGCAGTTGCTTATTTCCTCTTCAATGATCTTGAAGATGATCTGTCTAATGGCCTTGACTTGCGACAAGTTTGCGTAGCAGTTTTTCTTCGTGGACTTTGGCTTTCTCTTTGTGTTTGCAATGGTGAACACTCTCAGGACGTATCCATCGGTGGTCTCCACTCTGAGGCATGCCTCCACGAGGGTGTGCCACTTCTTGGGGATGCTCTTTATTTTGTCGCTGATCAGCTCCATCGTGTGGAAGCTGGAGATGGCGTCCTTTCCTTTGACTCCGTCGACTACAAACTTGAACTTTCTGAAGGCCTGTGTGTTTGATCCGGCCACGAGGTCTCCCTGGTTCACCTCGAATGTTCTTCCCTTCAGCGCATTTGGTGCGAAGTAGTTTCCTTGACTTTTATCTATGATGGTCACTCCTGCCTGCTTTGTGCCCAGAGATGAAGGAAGAGTTAGATTGTAGAACTCCTTCTTGCTCATTACATCAGTGGTTTTCTTTGCTCTGATTTTCTTTCCTTTTACTTTACTTCCAACACTGGATACGTTTGCCTTTCCTTTTGAAGCCATTGCAGGGGAGACAAAAAATGAAAATAAAACTAAAATTGAGAGAGAAAATAAAAATAAAAATGAAGCAATTCGCAGGCCAACAGACAGCCAGGAGAGACCACTAGAGCAAAGCACCACTGAACTTCTAGATATTGCATTAGCTGTTGCATGATACTGCTTCTACTGATCTACGCTAGACTAATATCATCTGTGCTCCATGACTTTTCTGCTGCAGCTTACTTACTGGATCATTGTAGCTGTGATTATAGCCTAAACATCTTACTATTCAATCTCAGCTGCTATGTTAGCTATTGAATGATCTTTTCATCCACTAATTCACTGCAATTTCTTTCACAATGGCTTGTATTCTTCTAATGGCTTAAATGATAGCTATTTTACTGCCTCTTCTCTACTAATGCCTTTTATCATCTAAGTGCACACTGCCTATGCTATTCCTTATCTCATCTGCTCCTCTTCTTTTCTCTATTTGCTCTATTTCTTCAGTTATTTCTGCAAAACAGAAAAATAGCAGAGTATGAGACCGGACAGAAAGTGTACAGATTCTCAAAGATAGAGTTTATATTTAATTGTGCTTATAAAGACGAAGGTGTGGGCGCACTGCTGTGTTTGTTTATTTGTCGCATTGTCTGAAGGTGAAACACTGCAGCACAGAATATATAAAAGAAAGTTGGCAAAAATAATTGACTATTTAATTAATGAAAGAGGACACAATATTCTTGTTCGACGTAGATGGAACTCTCACGCCCTCCAGAGAAAGAGCCACAGAAGAGATGAAGGCGTTTCTAAACGACCTGAAAACAAAGGTGAAGATAGGCTTTGTCGGGGGCTCTGATCTCCCGAAACAAAAAGAGCAATTGGGAGACGACTGCACTTCGCTCTTTCACTACTGCTTCCCCGAGAACGGCCTTATGTTCATTAAGAATAACGAAGTAGTGTCGACTGAGTCGTATCTTAACTTCGTGGGCGAAGCAGAGCACGGGAGAATGGTCAGATCCGTGATGAAAATACTCAGCGAGCTTCCGATGAACGAAGTGCCCAAAATGAGAGGGAATTTCATCGAGCTCAGAACATCGATGGTGAACATCTCGCCCATCGGCAGATCGTGCACAAAAGAGGAGAGAAAAGAGTTCAAAGAGCTGGACACAGCCAACAGAACAAGGGAAAAGATAGTGGAGAAACTAAAGGTTGCCTTCCCCAGCCTGGCTTTCTCCATAGGAGGAGAAATATCCATCGACATATTCCCGCAGGGCTGGGACAAAACGTACTCCCTTCAGCACCTCGAGAAAGAGGGAATAAAAAACATTTACTTCTTTGGGGACATGACATCAGAGGGTGGAAATGATTTTGAAATATTCACAGATGAAAGAGTCAAAGGAACAACTGTTACCTCTCCAGAAGATACGATGAAGCAGGTGAAGGACGTTCTTCTTACATTGGAATAAACTATGGCTGCTCTTGTCATTCTACCACTACTCCAGTTTATTTCTAGGCTTCTTTTTTATCTTCTCTAAGTACGGCAAAGATGAGTGCATAATATTGATATTTTATATTTGAGTAGAACTGTGTGGTGACAAGAAGCGAGTGGTATGATCAAGGATTGAATAATTTACCAAAAGACTTATATTAGAAATGAATCTTGAAAAGGATGTTGTTAGTCCAAGAATGTCTTTTGAGACTTGGGACTTGAAAGATCATGCCATGCTTTAGCATTGCTAACAAGAACCAATCTTCAACTATTCTGTCATTAGCATAGAGCTATTGAGAACATTGATAAAGCAAAACAATAATACACTTTAATCCAAACACTGTTTATTTTCAAGGAGTTTACTTACACTTTTTATACAATGTAATAAAACTATCAAGAATCTCGTTATGCACTCCCAGATTGGACTTGCTGGTGTTCACATTGCGGAACACTATAAGATCTATCATCTTGTATGGCTTTTCAGATATTGCTTCCTGCAGTTCTTTATTTGCAGCTTTTAGTCTTTTTGTTGCTGTATATTTTCTAGTGTTTGTTGCTTTCTTTTTTTTTTCCAATTTTTTTATTTCACTGGTGTTATTGGTAATACCTTCTGCTCTTTTTAGCTCTTCTAGCTCTTTGATTTTTCCCAATTTTTTCAGTTCTTCTATTTCTTCTTCTAGACCTAGTAGTCTATTCAGCATTTTATTTGTTTTATTAAAATTTATAACTTCTGCTCTTATTTTTTCTCTTTCTGTTTTCAACTTTGTCTTTAGTTTTTTTTTGCCCTCCTTAGTTCTATTATTTATCTTAGTTTTATTTTTCATCTTAGTTATACTCTCCTCTTCGATAGCAGCCTCTTTCTCTTTTTGATCTTCCACCTGCCATGTATATATCTTCTCTGCCTGGTCTTTTGACTTGATGTCTTCCATATTGCTATTTTTCAGCCAAATGCTCTGCAGTGTGCTATCTCTATTGTACTTTCTCGACTCCAGCACATCGAAAAATTGTTTAACTTTCTCTGGATCTTCTCTGAAATTTTTGTTCATTAAGCAGTGTGTATATGCATTGGCGCCTTTCGTCATGTTCACATACCACACAACTTTGACAGAGTTGTTCTCTAGACCTGTTCGATAGGCCATAATGTAGCAGTCCAGAGAGGGCGTCTTTTCTTCATCTGGCATTATGCACAGATTTTTGTAGTATCCATGCACATTAGAGTATTCATCCTTTTTGTAAGCAACATCAAACTCGTACACATTAGGCACTATATCTCTAAATCTCGCTGCTGTGTTTATCTTTGCATGGATGCCCTTCTTTTTAAAGGGCCCGAGGTCTTCTGCATCCAGCATCAAACGTGTAAAAAACAGCGGAATGCGAATTCTCTTTTCACTTTCGTGAGATAGCGGCCAAAACTCTGCAAATATAAACTCTGTCGTTGCCAGATCTTCTTCAATGCGGTAGAACACTACTTCATACTCTTCTAGATCTTTCACTGTCAGATTTCTTTCGTCTCCCTTCTCAATGTACGACCACTCTCTAGTTCCTTTTCTTACTTTGAAAGGATGCACAATATCTTTCTCTATGCCATACAGTCTCTTTGTATACTCTACTATATCGCCAATTGTGTGTATGTAGTGTTTTTCATTGCTTCCTCTTTCTGTATATATGGGCATGCACAGCTTTCTAGACCATCTTTCTTCATTGTCCACATAGTACACATGGTAATGCAGTTGTATGTCGAGCGGAATTATCCATGTGTTCCCTTTCTCTGGAGAGTACTCAGGATCAAAAGCCAGACCAAAAGAGCCATCTGGCGTAAATCCTAAGGTTTTTGCACATCTAGTATACACCTGGTGCTTTATTACACACTTGCCCAGCAAGATGTATTTATCTTCGTCACAGATTGTTGCTTTTTCATAGAAGTCTGCGAGAATTGTATATACATTCTTGTATAGCTCAGACACTGTTGGCTCATATTGTACATCTTTCCGGTACATGAAATGAAGAGCATTGTAAATATCTTTATACACATTTTCCATTGTTTTAGCATTCGCTGGAGACTCCTTTGCCAATGTGCACAGAGATGATAGAACTAGCTGGGCTGATTCGTCTTTAGACTTTTCTGCATATATTTGAGTTTGTTTTATAAGACTCATGCGAACCTGAGAAAAGTCCTGGCATACCTCAGGCAGTGCAAGGATCATACGCAGAGCATATGCCAGTGCATAATAGTTACTGTCTAGCTTACTAATCTTCTTTTGATCGCCGACCATTTCATAGTTTAGATCTAAGTCTTCTCGCATATAGATGTCTCCCAAAGTTTCATTCCACTCAGTTGCAGAGAAATCATCAGTTATCAATGGTTTATACTTATCCACGTATGCCCGCAAATCTTTAAAGACATTAGGATAATATCCCTTAAATGTTTCTACTAGTTCTCTATACTCAATGTTTTCTGCATCATTGAGAAATGCATCTAGCCACAGAAGATCCCCATACTTTGTATTTAGGTTTACAGATCTACTTGCGACAAGGTACAATACCTCATTCTTCTCTATTAAATTATTCTTTTTAACTACGTCATAGAAGATTTTTATTTCTTCTTTAATATTTTTCTCAATAGATTTAGTTAGTGTTTTTATGTCTTTAGAAGAGTTAAAAAAGCATCTATATCTATCAGACGTATACAGTGTTACATGCAGGGAGTAGCTGCTTTCTCTTCTTTTATTGGTTAGTCTTAAGTTATTCCATAGATTTGTATTGAGTGTTGTCATTTTATCTCTTTTTTTCTTTTCCCTTAATTCATAATGAGAATTAGATGGATCTGGTGCTACCTCTGCTTTTCTTTTTCTGTATATAATAAGTTTAACTTTTTTGTCTTTCTCTGGATCGAGCATAGATGCATCATCCATGCTTAGCATATGATCTGTGTGCTCTTTCATTGCTCTGTGTCCATCTACAGATGGCACAATCATATTATTTTCTTGATTAAAAGCATCTATACGCTGTTGTTGCATCTGCCTATATTCCACTCTCTTTTGAGCTCCATTAAATTTATCTGGTTCAATAATAGTGATTTCATCATTATCGATTCTATCTGCTTCATTTTGCAGATCATACACAGTATGCACTGAATTAAAGGCGTTTCTGCTATCACCAAAATCCTCTTCAGGCTGTGGGTGTATCTCATACATGTCTCTAAATTTTTCTGTAGTTGTTAATGGATTCCATATATTAGGTCCATTCTCATCTAGCACAAGATCATCAAGGTCTACTTCTTTACTACCCATCATTGCATCTCCACTCTTAGATGACCCAGGCATATTATATATTGGATCAAAGAACATATTATCATTGCCTATCATCACTATATCTCCATTGTTAGATGTCCCAGGCATATCATTGCCTACTATTTTAGCTGGGCTTTCTTGGCCTTCCATTACATTTTCCAAATTGTTCTCTGCTATAAATTGGCCTACAGCATCCCATATGCTTTTCCCATCATCTGCATTTCCACTTCCTCTGCACTGTGTGACAAAGAAAATAAGGGCTATGCCTGCCGCATTCAGTATTCTCCTTACTTTCTGATTTTTCATGGTAAAAATATCATTTTTTAATTTTATTTATAGCCTTTCCGTTAGAGCTTTTCCTTCCATTTGTAGTTACTACAGAGCAAGTATAACAGTGCATAGTAAGAGATTAAGATAAAGTCATCTCTGCAGTTTAAATTTTCAATGAGCCACAAAAGAAGCTGAAACTAAGCATAGATAATCACAAAATTACGTACCTTCTTTCGATTGTCTACTACATGCCATTATTTTATCTGATTAGAGCTGACTATTCTCATTCTATGCCCTATTGTCTATTTTACTATCTTAGGGCTCAAAGTTTGTATATTCAAGTATGCACAGAATAAATAGCATATTTAAGAAAAATAAAAATATATACATCTCTTGACAAAGGTATAAAAATTAATATTTTAATTTATTCATGTTCAGGGCTTTGCATCAGGTAATAGTAGTAGTAGTATTTGCACTATCTTGCTTACAAAAGGCCAACGGGCTGATATGCAAAGATGTAGCAAACATAAAAGAGTATTGGAGTGATAGGATGGATTGCATGCAAGAGGAGATTAGAATTCGCAGGGATTTTCTTGATAGGGCAGAGACTTTTGCGTGCGAAGAAATACCATCTGATGTGCTTGAAAAAGATATAAAAACAGGAAGAGAGAATCTGTCCAACATAATGTCACAGCTCTCAGCTCTTTCCATAAACGCACGAAAAATAACAACAACAGCACAAGATCTGAAAGAGCTAGAAGACAGCCGTAAATTGGATCAGAAGGAAATAAATACGCACTACAGTAGCATAGAGGAGCTGCTCCCGTCAGCTCTTGACGAGAGCGATTTAGTAAGTGAGAAAATCAAAGAGTTTGACTCGCACATGCTGGAAGTAATAAAAAAGTGCAGCAAAATGAAAAAGGGAGAGAACAAAGTGCAAGAGCTGACTGTGTTTAAGCTGGCAGAGATGAATAAGCTCTTTGCTGTGGAGATGGTGTACTCTTTTTTCGGAATGGATTTGCTCAAGCTGGATGACGCCAAAGAAGCCGTAGTAACTTACATATACACAAAAATGAGCAAATATGTCAGCATTTTGGATCCTATGTTTTACATGCAGATTGTGTGCGATGATCCAGTTGACCGAGAAGTGGACTTATTGGCTTTCGCTGATGAGCATTTTCCATCTCTATTCGGAAACTACGAAAAAACTAAGAAAATCATACTGCCCGCCTACTTTGATCTGATAAAGGAAGACATTTCTGAAGAAGAAGTAGAAAAGTACAAAGACATGACTCCCAGGAAGGCTATAAAGCTAATAATGATTGAGTGCGCAATGAACAGAGATCTCATAGACCACAGAAAAAACAATTTGTTTTCCAACCTCGGAAAAATAATAGTGAGCATAGGAAGGCCCTTCAACATTGAGAGCGCAGACGCGGTAGATATAGACGCAGCAAGAGAAGAACAAAATGAGATACTTGATGCGCTGAGTGTCCTGTGGAGTGATTACAATAATGCCAATGCGTATATATCGCCAAACGACATTGACATTTTCTGTATGAAGAATAAGATATCACTGGATGATCTTAAAATTGTACAGAACATTTTCATGTCTGCTATATGGATGTACAAACTGAACATTGCCAGCCCAGCCTCTGAAGAGCTCA